TGAAAAAAATCTAAATTTATAAACTATACTTTTGGAAAAACTATTGTGCAATTATGTAAAATTTACCTCTGGTACTAACTTGTACTATCTGATCTTCTCTGCAAAATTTGCACACACTTGCAGAGCACAATAAAGCGTGAAATATTACGCAATTTTCTAGCCGTTTTGCATCAGCTAAGTTTAATGCATCTTACATTTTATAGTCGTAGTATCTATGAATTCTCAAGATGTGTAAGACGTGCTGGCATAATAGTGCATACTAATAACATTGGATTCGACAGCACTTAAAAACATCCTATTCTAAATGATTTTTCGTCCAAGAAAAGAGTCCCACCAAACTTTTGCAGAGAATGGCTATTTGAAAGAATTAGGTAACTTAGACAAGTGCTACGCTTGATGCTACAAGGAGACCTAGTGATGATGAGAACCATTTGGGCGACTGCAAGTGGATTTTCCCATTCCGACAGTTTTTCTAGCTTTTCAATGGTAAGTTTTGTGCACTTGTCTTTTATCTAGGAGTGATATCGAAATGAAAATATTTTTCCACTTCCAGTTAGCCTTTGATGCTCAACATTGTGAAAACTTGCATGCGCTGTACAGAATTTCAGAAGTTTGCGCCAACACATTTTTCTTTAAAATTTAATGAAAATATAGCAGGTTTGCAAACATTTTGTGACACAACTACTTTAAGCGTGAAGAACACACCTCTGGTACGGGCTTATATAATTTGACTTTTTCCGCAAAGTCTCTGAATACTTGCAGATCACAAAACTCCTTTCCCTGACATTTATCGATTTCCATTGTAATTGGATAGATTGGCGATGTGTCGTTTGCACGGTAGAGAAGCTCAAACAAAAAATCTGCAAAATGTTTCGGAGAGCGATATTGCAAAATTTTTACCCTAAAATATGGCTGTTTATCGGTTTCGTTGCGCCACAACTCCACAAAAGAGGCTGCAGCGTATGCTGGGTAAACGCCCGGTTTGATTACTTTCCTGTCAATTCCCATTATTGCGAAAAATTGAAATATCGTCGAATCGTGCTGAAAGAATCTTTACAATAAAAAAGAAACATTGTTAATTAACGAGAAATTTGCAGTAAAAACAGTGAATTATCTCGGAGGCCCAAGCGCAGTTGGCACAGACTTTCCCTAACAATTCTTCACCCAACTTATCGAAGTTCAAAAGAAGATTTATTTGGATTTTGATTGTTTCTGTGTTGTTTTCAAATTTCTTTAGAATATTATGTAATTCTGGAAGCACATTTTTTGTTACAACTTAATTTCGAATAGGTTCAACTAGTGAATGATTTAGGTTTCTAGGACTTCAATAAAAAGGAGC